GCTCACTCGCACTTTGGCTGTGAGCTGCGGGCGCCAGATAAGCCAACATCCCCCATTTTCATCACTTACAGCGCCCATCGTACAGGGCAAATGAAACGTGTAACCGGGGTGAAAAGGGTGTTACATTTACTTAATTATGAATGTTGTTACATCAAGGCCGAAAATTAGGATGAGCACCAATGGTCAAAAATGTTTGTACCAGCGCAGCACCTCCACAGATCTGGCGCCCTAGGCGAAAATCAACGCCAGTGCGACGGGCCGGCCCTGAGTTCATATGCAACTCGCAAATATCTTTCTCTCTCTCTCTCTCTCTCTCTCTCTTCTCTTCTCCCTTCTCTCTCAATGTTGATACGCAAATGCGCCTTTTTTCAAATTACCCGGTGCTCTTTTTTTGGCCGAGGTGCACATGCGCACCTGCGCACCAGTTATGTGCAGCCCTGATGATAGCACCAGAGATTGCCCCAGGAGTAACAAGAATATTCGTTGCGCCGCCACGTGAAGCCATGCTTAGAGAAATGATCAGATGCTTGTGGTGGAGTCTGATCGTTCTTCGTCTGACCCTTCCCCTGAAAGTGGAGAGGACACAGAGGATCCCATCCCGTAGCTGCGCTACATTCCTCTGCACTATCCTATCCAATGTTTGCTCAAACATCTGTGGCATCAACATCCCTCCAGTTTGCCACCGAACGTCCCCCATGCAGGTGTGTCATGTCGACAATACTGCTGATGATCTCAGGGGTAGGGCTGTGCGATTATGGCAAAAATCATAATCACGATTATTTGGGTCAATAATTGATATCACGATTATTTTGACGATTATTCATTGACCATTTATTGAACTTTAAAACAAATAATATTTTACCAATAAACAAGATCAACAAATATGTTGAGCGCACTTCCAAAACCATACTAAACATAGATTATTAATATGATAAATAAAAATAAATTAGACCAAAATAAATTAAATCAAATATGATGCAGTGCACTGTCACAACCTACTGAAAACTCCTTAACATATAGCCAACATTTTGGTAAAACATAATCAACATATTCCACTCAGTTAAACGTTGAAGGCTGGCCAACCGTCATGGTCCAGAAGTAACAGGAAATAAATGTTGAACTACAATTTAAGACCAAATAAAAATGTTTAGGCCACCATGGCAAATGCTGGTAGGACTGCTCATGTCATCTCTTAAAGATGTTTTGCAAGAAACACCAGCCTGTTGACATGGTCTGGTTTCAGAGATGAGCGCAGGCAGGTGACGATATTGCCACCTGTACTGAAGACCCTCAGCCACGCCCCGACACATGGGGTGACGCCGGCCAATCACAAAGCTTTGATGCGTTCAAGTGCATTATTCTGGCACAGGAAGATTATGTTACAGGACATTAACGATAAAACAGAATATTGGTGTTCTATTTTTAGACACATCTCGCGATCGACTGGTTGGGCACCCCTGGGCTAGACCATAGGTCTGTTGTGGTAGCAAAGTAGTCAGCTGAAGCCACATCTCTCTCAACTTCCCCACGGCATTTGTCATATAGTGCAGGCAGCGCAGACCTGCTGAAATAATACCGAGACGGCATCGCGTAACGCTTGTCCAACGTGTTGACAAGTTGCTTAAAGCCCTGGTTGCTAACAGTGGTAACTGGGCACATATCTTTAGCGATGTGAAATGTAATGGCACCTGTAATATCTATGTGTCTCTGCGAGCTCGTCGCGTAGGCCGTTGCTCTGTACAATGCGTCCTGAATCGATGACTGTGATGATGTGGTGGATGAAGTCGAGTGGGCATCTGCTTTTTGTTGTATTACTGCCCGGTCGTATTGCACTTTGTGGTTGTATTTCAGATGATTAAAGAGATTGGTTGTGTTAGCGTGTGGTGCCAACACAACCTGGTAACAAATCCTGCACTGTACTTTATTTTGCTCCACGTCGGACTCCTGAAAGCCAAAGTACTTGCAAATAGTGGAAATAGTTTGACCCTTATTATTAACGAGTTGCTGCTCTTGTTCTGACATCTTCGCTCGCGCTGAACACTCACAACACATGTCACTCCCACGTGGCCGAGTGGGCTTTTAGGGAGGGGCGAAAGCGCACCCAGCAAAATAATCGTATTTTGTCAATTATGCTGTTTTCATAATCGTCGCAAGCCATAATCGTAATCGCGATTAAAATACGATTAATTGCACAGCCCTACTCAGGGGTAAAGAATAAATCAAAGAAGGATTCCACGTCATGAATTATTATTTATGCCACTCGTAATGGCATAACGCGTGGGCCCTGAAACCAAACCTCTGGCAGCAGGAATGTAGCGCAGCGTTTCCTCATGAGAGGGAAATCAGATTTGAAAATGTTTTGATGTCCACCCACTGCCACGATGGACACGATCCTCCGGATAGGATAGTGCAGAGGAATGTAGCGCAGCTACAGGATGGGATCCTCTGTGTCCTCTCCACTTTCAGGGGAAGGGTCAGACGAAGAAGGATCAGACTCCACTACAAACTCCACATCAGATTCTCCTTCTCATGTTTGGCAAAAAAGTGTTTTATCTTTGTGCTGACTCCTTTCAAGCACAGTTCAGATTCACACCAGATTCTCCTTCTCAGGGTGTTTCTGTTTCAGAGGATGAGTCCTGCAGCTGAAATTACGGGCTGCATGAGACCTCTTGTCCCACAGAGAAGCTCCTCTTCATCTTACTGCTTGTTGCGTATCACAGGAATGAAATGACCATCCAGCCAAACTACACATATTTGAAGCTTTGGCTTTGCTGCCAGGTGTTTTTATTTACTTCAAGGAGTGTATGTATGGCTGTGTATGTCTGTTTGACATTATCAAAGGACTTTGAAGTTCAAACAATTCAAAACATCGAGGTCAAGCTGGGTCAAGATCATACATCTGTTTACCTCAAAGACACATGAAACAGCACAAATGAAAAGAAAAACTTCATGAGAGCACACTTAGTCCTGTCTCATTCTCACACACAATCACTCACACACATACAAGGTATAAGGAGGTTTAATATGTAAGAGTGTGTCTGAGTTTGGAAATGAGGGAGTGAGAGAAAGAGAGAGAGAAAGAAAGATATGAGGCGAAAACTGCGACTTGCTGTAAACCAAATCAACTGTATATTGTTGTCTCTGTACACACACTGTACATTCATATACACACACACACACACACACACACATTTCTCAGCTGATACCACTCTTCCACATCCATACCAACATCATATTAGTTGCATACATGTATTCCAATGGCTCCCAGGGCCCCATTATACAACAGGCAAATAAACCAAGAAATGACAAGCATGTAATTCAATGGTAAAATGTCACATCTGGTCATATACAGTAAAAAGGACAAATTGAACTATTTTCCTCCAATATAAAACCCTGACATTACAAAATGCATGATTGTATACCGGTATGGCGGAGAGATCAAAAGATGTGGTTATAATGGGAGTGGATGGGACATTTTTGTCCGCGATTGGCTAATGTGTGAGTTTTTTGTTTAATCTGATTCTGTGCAAAAACTAATAATCAACCAAAATCAATGTTGTTGCTAATCTTTGACATAGCCAAGACTGTAAAAAAAAAAAAAAGCCGACCCCCCCAACATTTATTATATGGAAAATAACTGCCTTTTTGTGCATGTTTTTCATAGAAAACGCAAATTCATGTTTTCAAACTGGCAGTTAAAGGGTTAAAATCCTGAACATAAGTTAACATTTGGTATTTTTGATCAGGACTGAAGTTGATTGAAAGATTTAACCCCAAAAAGTTTGAAAAAATATGAATCTGTTGTCATTTTAGAGCAGTTTTTGGAAGTGGACATGTTTGTCCTGAATGACTAATTTGTAACTTTTTTTGTTCAATCTGATTTTGTGCAAAAACTAATAATGCAAAAAAATCTATTTTGTTGCTAATCTTTGACATATCCAAGACTGTTATAAAAAAAAAAGAGCCAGTCCCCAGATATGTATTTTTGGGAAAATAACTCATTTTCTGTTTTCATCATGAAAAAAAACAGCGGTTTCATGTATTCAAAATGGCATTTAAAGGGTTAAAATCCTGAAAATGATTACATTTTTGGTATTTTCTATTAGGGCGGAAGTTGCTTTAAAGATTGAAACCAAAAATTTGTGAAAAAAACCTTTTAATATAATGTTTTTATCAAAGTCTTTTGCAGTGGACATTTTTGTCTCGAATGACTAATTTGCGTAGTCGATTTGTTACACAGTGAATTAAAGACCGATTTGAAATTGGAATTCCAAAATAGATCGAGAAATTAGCCTTGTTACAAAAAATCAGGCCATTTGCACCAAGGAAACCAAAGTTATTGCAAAATGAAAAGTGAAACATGACCCATAAGGACAAAAACGTCCACAGTGATACCGGAGGGTTAACCACAATTACAATTTATTTTATTTCAACTCAATTCTTCTTATTATTATTACTACTATTATTATATATGTAATATTTTTCACGTTTCATTTTTTCAAATGAGGGTGCATAACGACTCAACTGAAGGTGCAATGCACCCTTATGTACCCCCGTAGAACCGGGCCTGCATGTCTCTATGTTTTAATGTTCAAAAAGCTCTTTATTTTTCTCATACTGCCTGTGCTGCAGCACCTCTGTTGTGATTGGTCAACCACTTAGAGATGTCCCGCCCCTTAGCCTATCACGTATAATATGTTGGAGCGCTGGCCAAAAGAAGTGCAAGTGTTACAGAGTGATGTCACTAGGTTTAGTAAATAAAAAAAGGAGTCCAATGAAGGCGCTTCAGGCAGAGGGGGGGGGGGGGGGGGGGGGGGGGGAGAGACATGGATGTGTGAGACTGAAACATCCTCTGGAGGGAACACAGGGATTTTATGCAAAAAATACCTATATAACACACTACAGGACATGGAAAACGGAAAAGAATAAAAAGGGCCGTACACCTAACCACTGCTGGTGGGTTTCTCTCAGTGAGTCTGGTGATGGATGAACAGGCTTACCTGAAATGTGTTGAGAACATGTTGAGAAACTTCAGTGAGATCCCTCAGGCCCCTCCGCAGCGGCTCTGTGGCTGGGACCCCCCCTGAAACACACAGAAGAGTCCTCTGAAGAAAACCACCACCATTACAAATAACAACAAAATCAACCACAGCACGCACTCCACCGGTCACCCCTCTCCAGGACCTACAGCTTTACTCTGCATCTTAATCAGCTGTGTGAGACCACATGCAGTACTTTACAGTCACGAATCATATATATACAGCCATGCTAGAAAAATCAGGAAATGACGCAGGAGCAGGATGCTGTTCGGGGTCCAGTTTCACCAAATGTCCTACAAGCCATCTGCAGTTTACAGCATGGGATACTGTTCTCTCTTGTTCACTAATCAAAACAGATGACATGTTTAATCAACGTCACGTGCATCCACAATTTCCAAGAAGCATTGACATCTGTGAGTCAGAGTTCCCGTTAACCGGTAATTACTGGACTATGACCGGTAAAATATGCTGAAGACCGGCAAATCTAAATCTCTCCGGTAAAAATGTCTGGTCAAAATAATTTCTCTTTAGCGCAATACAGCATCAGTTGCGCCACTTATGTGACAGACAAGAATAGTATGTGACAAACAAAAGAGTATGTGACAGACAAGAATAGTCAATTCTAATGTCTAACACTTAATGTGGAGAAAGAGATGTCCTGTATGGGTTGATTGTGCGTTGATCTGTTGGTAATGTCTCGGGGTTCCGGTGGGCATGTAAACAAATGCATAATGCTGCGCTATACTTTGTGGCCTCACCCGGTTGCATAGCGACGCTTCTTGTTTAGGTGTCTTTTAATAAGCAGGTAGTCCTATCATTAGCTAGAACTAGCTAGATCTGATCGATATGGACATAAATGCGAGTGAAGTCTAATCTGATGGGAGAGAGAGATCAGCTGCTGCTGACAAGTCGACACGCAGCTCTGCATAATCACATGCAGTGGTGATCGGAGCAAAACACACTTCAGGTTAGAATATCACACGTAGCTATTTGAATTACCTCTCAACAGAGGTGGGAGTAAGTCCTACATGTGCGAGTCATGAGCAAGTCTCAAGTCTTGACCTACAAGGGTCAAGCAAGTCAAGTCATTGTTCAGGTCAAGCAAGTCAAGTCAAAATTCTGATGAATAAGCCCAGTTTCCGCATTTAAATCAGTTAAAAGACAGTGGTTATGAAAATGGATTCAACCCACACTATGATCTTCATTACATACACAGTTAATCATTTGAAATCTAATTTAGACCGATGACAATCATATTAGATTAGATTCATATTAACCCTAGAACTGCAGACAATATAGCTAGGACTTAATCAAAAAGGCAGAATTCCAGGTAAGAAAATCATATATGGCATTTGCCATTACACATATTTAATTTAAATGTATGTTAACACTAGAACCGCCAACAGCGTCAGCACCTACATAGATATCATTTAATTTGTTCTCTTTGCAATGCTTAATCGATTTGAACATAGCTTAAACTTAGCGTTAGCTTTCTAGCTAACACAACACATTCACGCACCTTTCTCTGTGGGTTTTTTTTTTTTATACGAATTAAGTTGGATGTTGTGGTGGTCGTGTCACTAGTGTTGTCACGATACCAACATTTTGGTTTCGATACCAAGTCAAGAATCGCGATTCCGATTATTTTTCGATTAGATTTGAGGGCTTGAGCATGATGTAATTATGTTATCTATCACATTCGCTAACCTGTCTGTCTTTAAATTCTTTAAACAGCTCTGGATGCCGGTCGACGAGGTGCCTGGCCAAGTTTGATGTGTTGGCTCCCTTGGTTTGCAGGGATCTAAAACATGTCTAACAGACAGGCCTCGTGCTCAAATACTTCCAAATGTTGCTGCTGGCGTCTTTTTTGTCAACAAGCCGAGGCGCAGCGGCAGTTGCACTCCCACTTGCAGCCACTTGCTCCCTGTTTTCTCACATGCTCTGGCAGCTAGCGCGTGCTTGAGAGAGGGGAGGGACTTAGAGCGTGCTTGAGAGAGGGGCGGGACTGCAGGCACGGCTGCAGTGCAGGGAGTGGAAGCAGAGCGCTGAACACACGGCTCTTATTAAAACAGCACTTTCTCACCGGAGTACTTTCCCCCGTCATTCTTAAAGTACCGATACTAATGAAACGGAGGAATCGTAACGTTTTTAACGGCAGGGTATCGCAGTACCTTTCAAGTATCGGTACACCGTGCAACACTACGTGTCACTGAACTTTATGCTGTAGACCCTGCATACCACTGTTCTCTTGTTATTAGCGTCATCGACAACATAATCCTTGAATCCAAACTTGACTATTTGTGGAGTAACGCTAGCCACTGCCATGTTAACTGACACTCCTGCCGTCTAGTGGGTTGCCAGGTTTGCGCGCACGGCGCTATAATCACCCAATCACATTTTTCGAAAAAACGAAATCTAATATCTCAATACAAAAACAAACGCAAATATTTAATTTTAAAAAGTCAAGTCCTTTCATGTCATCTGTCTCAAGCTTAAGTCAAGTCTCAAGTCATGAATAACAAGTCAAAGTCAAGTCTTTTATCAATGTTAGTCAAGCAAGTCTCAAGTCCAAAAATATGCGACTCGAGTCAAGTCATGTGACTCGAGTCCCCTCCTCTGCCTCTCAAACTACCTAAATTAGTTATAGATATGTTTAGTTTTACTGTCCAGTCACTCATTACTGATCCGCGAGCTGCATGATACTGGCGGGCTGTCAGGAGAAGGAGAGAGCGCTCCGTTTATTATTCCCTTGTTATTGTAAATTACTGTACACTTTTGAATAATGTAGTTAATCTACTATAATTAGTTTTTTTTTTATATATATATATATATATATATATATATATATATATATATATATTAGGGCTGTCAGTCGATTAAAATATTTAATCGCATGATTGTCCATAGTTAATTGCGATTAATCGCAAATTAATCGCACATTTTGTATCTGTTCTAAATGTACCTTAGAGGAATATTTTTCAAGTTTTTAATACTCTTATCAACATATGAGTGGAGAAATATGCTTTATGCTAATGTTTATTATCATTTGAACAATGACAAATATTCTAATGAATATTAAACACAACAACCTCTGAACATTAAAAATATTCGCCTCAATTCAACCTGGAACCTCTCTCATACAATAATACAATACAAAGTGTGCGTGTGTGTGTGTGTGATGGATCGTTGGAGCTATGTGCAACCGGTGTGCAACTCAAGGCATATGCTCGAACGGGAGCTGCCTGGACGCTGCAATCATGTTGCACTATCCATGCTGAGTGTGCTGACTTTTCGTGCAATGTCCCACTGTCTGGCTTCCTGCATAAAGTCAAGTGCTCGGCGCAGTTGTGGCGAAATGTCGCTCCTCTGCTTTCATTGAAACAGCTCCTTATATCCGTTAGCGCAGCTAGCTAGCACCAGATGCTAACAACAGCAATACACGTAAGGTCGCTCCCTCGCGCCACACATACACACACCCTCCCGGTCCTCCCGATGGCCAGTCGGTGCCTGCCGGTGAGCGTGGAAGTGTGGTCTGCAGCAAGCGGGCGGCAGGAGCGGGGCTGTCAGCATCAGCTTGTAGATGGTATTTTAAACTCGATGCGCTCTGAAACTACGGGGCGGCCGAGTACAAAAAATACACATGCGTTAATCGCGTTAAAATAATTAGTGGTGTTAATTCTTTTTTGCGTTAACGCGTTATTAACGCGTTAACTTGACAGCCCTAATATATATATATTAGGGCTGTCAAACGATTACAATTTTTAATCAGATTAATCACAGCTTAAAAATTAATTAATCATGATTAATCACCATTCGAACTATGTCCAAAATATGCCATTTATTTATGTATATTGTTGTGGGAATGGAAATTAAATGAAAGAAGGCGGATATATCCATTTAACATACAGTATCTATGTTTATTATAACATTTTTCTGCGTGTCAAAATGAAAGACAACCCACACACCTATCAATCATCAAACCGTGGGGTCTTAATTCATTACGTGTTGATTTCTATCAAAGGGGGAGTACTTCAGGAAAGTCGACAGAGGGGGGGGGGGCGGCGGCGGCTAGTGGAGTACTTTGTGACCACAGAGTGTGAACGTTGTGATCAGCTGTTTTAGCGCAGTTCTCCAGTGAAGGGGGGGGAGTCTCCCTCCGCAGCCGGTTGGGCGTAGTTTTGGCACAATTCCGTTGTACAGACCGACGTTAACAGCAGCCCTGTCTGTGCACACGGAGACCGACTCTGTCGTCCGGTGATCTAACCGCCTTCTGGAAAAGCTTCACAAGTACGTCGGTACGCAAATGCGCTTTGTGACACAAGTGACGGTACGCATTTCAGATTACGCACATAACCTGCGTACCAGTTATGTGTTGTGTTACCTGTACTACAGCAAAAGTATTCTCCGTCGGGACTTCCTGCAACATCACCACGCCGTTATCAAAGATGTTCTATTGAGAAGACGATCACTACGTGACAAAAGTTTTCAAAACCGTGGCTACTGAAATCAATCTTACTAACTGCTGTCTGTGCAATTTACTCCGCGCGAGTTGGCAGACTTTATTTTGCTTACTTTAACATCATTTTTCATGGTGGGGCTAAGCCATTTCTTGGTATGGGTGTAGCCTACCCCAGCCATACCCTGGCGCTGCCACTCCTGGCACGTATGGGGCGGGCCATTCTGCACATGCGTTAAATGCGTTAAATATTTTAACGCAATTAATTCAAAAAATTAATTACTGCCGTTAACGCGATAATTTTGACAGCACTAATATATATGATTCGATATTCGAATATATATATATATATATATATTCGAATCATATCAATTTGTTTTAAAGCTCAATAAATAACAAAGAAGACCTTTGACCGGCACTTTTCTAATTTTGTGCAGAAGATTTAAGACATTTTGACCGGCAAATAAATATTCTAACGGGAACTCTGCTGTGAGTAAGCACTAGGGCTGCACGATTTTGGGGAAAAAATCTAATTGCGATTTTTCTGACAAATATTGCGATTCGAATTGCGATATTTATTTTTAAGCG